GTGTGTGTGTGTGTGTGTGTGTGTGTGTGTGTTTGTGTGTGTAAATTTTGATATAAATTTTGTTACTTTCCAACAAACATAGTAGGGCAACCTTGAGAATTCTGTATGTTCTTCAGAGATTCACTCATTCCTCTTCTCCAAGGGTTATATACATATATAGCTGATGTCTGAGTCTACATGGACATTGCAGTCCACCTCCATTTTAAACCTGCTCGATACAGAAATGATCATATTATACGGCTGCCCAAAGCATCAGCTTTTCTGATTTTATTCTTAAGAGTTCTGGTGTCTGCATGAATTTTTCTTCAGGAAACAAACCACCCAGCTTTCCTACCCATCAATCTTGCCATTGTCTGGGAGACCAAGGAATTATAAGATGAAATAACCCCATACTTAGCGTCAGTTGCCCTAAGCTGTACTTCTTGGTGACCACAGGCAGCTATATACCTCTTTTCTGGCCACATGCAGCTTTAACTAATATTCTATAAGCCTTGAGGCCAACACAATTCAGATTTACTGGCAAATAGCAGATGAAATGAAGCCAACTAGAATGTCACCATGCATGTAAAACAATTTCCTTAGAATTTTCTAGGCTTTGATCTCTCATCCACATGATGGCAAGCCTGCATGCAGTGCCCGATGGAGAGATTTATCTTGCATTTTCAACCTGGTCTTCTGCTGCATGACATTGCTGGTGGCACAGGGCTGCCCACTTTCTTTCTCCATCAATTAACTGTCATCAACATTGCTGATGGTGTATGCCAATAGTACATCAAAGATCCTTGTTCAAGTGACATGTAATTTAAGTAAAGAGTTGATCTACTGTTTAAAAAATACCCTATGGTCCTGGGACCGTGGCTGTAATGGAATGAAGATAAGGAAGAGGTACTGAAATGCAAGGCGGGCCGCTTGAGTTTTATACTGGCTCTGTTGCTTATTCTCTGTCTGGTCATGGACAGGTCACTTCTCTCTGGGCCTCAGTTTCCAAAGCTGTAAAATCAGTGAGGTGGGCTTGGTGCTTTAATGGTTGATTGTTAGGGTTGTGGTTGTAGCCCAGTGGTAGAGTTCCTGTCTAGAATGTGTGAGGTACTGGGTTCAATCCTCAGTACCACATAAAAGTATATAAAATAAAGGCCTGAAAATGTTGTATCTGCTTAAAAATAAGTAAACAAACAAAGGTTAATTGTTCTCTGCCCTGCCAGTGCAATACCACAGCCTTCTCACAGAGTCCACAAGACATTTCTGTTGAACCTCTTTTTTAAAATTATTTTTGAAGCTCCACTTGGGAGTGCTGTCAGTAACCACTTATCCTGTCAAGTGGGAATCATGCTGGGTGGCTTGCTTGCATCTACTGGTTTCATCCTGGGCTCATTTGCCACCAGCCTGAAGCATCTCTACCTCACTCTGGGAGTTCTTACAGGTAAGGGCGCTTTGTGCCACTCATCTCACCCTCTTCCACTCAGGTGTTGCCAAGCATACAACAGAGCAGTGATTTTTAATATATTCATTGTGTTAGATGCACAGTTTAGCTGACCTAGGCTATGTCTGCCTACCTAGCAGTTAAACAGAGTTGCAAATGCTATTGCACTACCCTAATGAAAATGTATCACCACCTTAATTCATCCATAGGATAAAAGTAACTATTACTTTTCTCTTCAGCATTAATATATGGCTGAGGTTCTGTATTCAGAAGAAACGAGATTTCACTCAGCACGATATAAGTTTTCAGCAATGGTCATTCTCCTAATTTCTTTGCCAAGACATTAAAATACTATCTGTGTTTAATCTGAGTTTCCCTTGTTTTATGATGAATATCATTATCCAGTAAGTAGGAATTACCAATTTAAAAAAGATAGCCCCTTGTGAACATTCCTATATTACACATAATTTACATTACAGATAATTTATGGCACCATTCTCAGTGTTATACAAGCATTGCTTCAGAGAATCAATAATGAATTCCATGCAAAGAGAAGCATCACATGTACTTTCCATAAATCACACTTAAGGGACTGTGTCAGATCAAGATGGCGTTGGTTGGTGGAATTGGAATAGCAGTTTGCTCATCATTCAGAGGAGTGTGGAGAGTAGCACCCACTCTTATCTGGGTACTGTGCATGGATCAGACCAATAAAGGATGTAACCTTCACAGGAGGCTGTAAATCAAGCTAAAGAAGATATATCCATCCCTAGTAACCTGAAGGGCCTGACGGCTAAGTGATCAGAAATCTTTTACCAGGGACTATCCTGGTTTTTAGCTCTGAAAGTCCCATATCCAGAAACCCCTAAGTCCAGGCAACTCTAGATTGCTGACCACCCTGCACTGTAGATGGAAATAGATCTGAGGGGGTTTCTTCTTTCCCTTCTCTGACATTCTAGATGCTATGAAATCTAGGCTTAAAGCACTACTCATTCTCAGGGGCTTTGTTTTGAAACTCTGTTTGTGATGCCTTGATGTGGCCAATTACTCTTAAGGAGGACCAATCAAGTCCGGATCTTAATTTAAAAAGTAACAGAAGCTGAAAACCTTTAGAAATCTCTGGACTGTCAACATTTTTTTTGCTGACATTAAGGGATATTTGCAGATTGCTATGTTCATAAATAAAGTTGGCATGATGTTTCCTGACTATATGATGCAGTCATATATGTTATTTCAATCCAAACTCCAGAGTGGTCCATATTATCAATGTTGCATCTTCATAGGCAGTGAAGATTACAGATAATTTATGGCACCATACAGATTTTCTAATAAATTCCAGTTTAGTATGTATGATGATTTTTAACTTCTTCATTTAAAGTTGCTTAAGAAATGATATTTTTCTAAGAAGAAAGTCACACATATTCTGTATTTTGAAAATTATGGGTGACTGGTGAGGGGAGACTCATTTTCAGCTTGGTTTACAAAACAGCTTTTAAAGGATTTTGCAGAAGGTGCGGCTCTCTATAATCCAGATCTTCTGAGATGGCTTCTTCCACTGGCTGCTCATGATGTTCCAGCACTCACAGAGTTCTCTTTTTCCCAGGTCTTGGATTTGCACTTTGTTACTCTCCTGCGATTGCCATGGTTGGCAAGTATTTCAGCAGACGGAAAGCCCTTGCTTATGGGATCGCCATGTCAGGGAGTGGCATTGGCACCTTTGTCCTGGCTCCTGTGGTTCAGCTCCTTATTGAACAGTTTTCCTGGAGGGGAGCACTTCTCATTCTCGGGGGCTTCGTTTTGAATCTCTGTGTTTGTGGTGCCTTGATGCGGCCAATTACTCTTAAAGAGGACCGTTCAAGTCCAGAGCAGAAATGTGATTGTCGAACTCAGAAAGAAGACTGTAAGCGGGCAGCTCCTTATTCACCTTTGACCAAAGAATGGGCGCAGACCTGCCTGTGTTGCTCTTTGCAGCAGGAATACAGTTTTTTGCTGATGCCAGACTTTGTTGTGTTAGCCGTCTCTGTTCTGTTTATGGCTTACGGCTGCAGCCCTCTCTTTGTGTACTTGGTGCCTTATGCTTTGAGTGTCGGAGTGAGTCACCAGCAAGCTGCTTTTCTTATGTCCATACTTGGGGTGATTGACATTATTGGCAATATCACATTTGGATGGCTAACCGACAGAAGGTAAAATCCCTGAAAACACAATCAATCAGTTCCCCACTAGGGGACCTTGAGTCTTGAACTTCCTCTCAACCCCTGACACTACAGAATACCTACATCTGAAGAAGTTTAGCAGGTCCTTGATCTCTGAGGGCCACTCCCTAGATCGTGGGTTAGCAAGGTTTTTATGTAAAGCAACAGATAGTAAACATCTTTTAGGTTTGTGGGCCACGTGGTCTTTAGCACAGCTACCTAATATGGTGTTGTAGCACCCACAGACAACATGTTAACAAATAAGAGTAGCTGTGTTCTGTTGAGACTTTATTTATGCACACTGAATTTAGAATTCTCATGATTTTTACATGTCACCAAATATCATTCGTTTGATTTTTTCCAATTATTTTTAAATGGAAAAAAGTCATTCTGGGTTCACAGGTAGTCCAAAAACAGGTGGCAGGCTGGACCTAGCCAAAATTTGCCTACCCTTGTTCTAGATGGTTTACAATGTTGAGTCTAAGTTGCAGAAGCCAAGGGTAACTACAAGTCCTTGCAACATATTTAATTCCATCCCAAGTAAATGTTGTCCTCAAGCAAGACAACTTCTGGCTGGTGTTATGGATTTAATTTCTTTTTAAGTACCCCAGAGAGGAGCTGGGGATGTGGCTCAAGTGGTAGCGTGCTCACCTGGCATGTGTGTGGCCCGGGTTCGATCCTCAGCACCACATACAAACAAAGATGTTGTATCCGCCGAGAACTAAAAAATAAATATTAAAAAAAAAAGTACCCCAGAGATTGACTTGCAATGGGAAGAAGAGCAGAATCCAGGCAGGAGGGCCAGATACCATAATAATCCATTATCTGTAGCCACATATTTATGTTTGACAGTGAAAATAGTAAGCAGTTCTAAGTAGACTTAGAAACCAAAATGATAAGAAACCTACCAAGTAGTGTCTTCAGCAAATGCTCATCTGTTTGGATTGAAGTGTGTAGGTTACTCATGTCTCCTAAATGAAGGACTCTTTATACTTAAATTACGACTTGGGAGAGCTATGTCATGAAGCTTCTCACAAGTTATGTCTTTGATAATTAATCAGGTTCCAACTGCCATTCTCCAGTGTTATGAATACAATATTTAGGAGTAATTCCAGTTGGTTTTTTTTTGGGGGGGTGCTGGAAATCAAACCAAGACCTTGTACATGCTAAGCAAGTGCTCTATCACTGAGCTGCACCTCCAGCCTCTCCACATTTTTAACTAAGGAGGAAAGGGCAGAGGAAGGGAAATCTATAAACAGCAATTCAGTGAGAAGCAGCTTATTGTAGGTCTGCAGGAGGATCTCTAGTCTGAGACACGTAAGACATAAGTTCTTATGCCTGCTCTGCCCTTGATTAGTCCTGTGACCCAGGGAAAATCACCTAACCCTCAGATGCTCAAGGGTCTTCACATGTCAAATAGATCAGTGCAATGTTTACTGGTCAACCTGATACCATTTTGTGAGGCTCAAATAAGCTGGGAAGAGAAAAGTGTTTATAAAACAAGCTGCTAGAATTGACATTGTAAGAGTTTTTGAAATAATTGGTGTTGTGGATGGGTTTGGAGTTACAGAGGAAAAGTAAAATGGAAGTTCCACTCACTGGGAAAGTTTTAAAATAAGACTTAGTTGTAGTACAAGGCCTTTGTCATCTCTGGCAATTCATTTTAATGTCTTCATATTTCAATTTCCCCTTTGTATAGCCACTTGAGTTATATGCAGATACCAATGGGTAACATATCTAAAGGATTTAATATGGTAGATGGCTAAAAAGTATTAATATCCTGACACTCTGCATATTTCACAGCTACCTTTAGAGTATCTATGAAATTGGTAGCCTTCTCATTTTAGAGTGAAAGAATTTGAAGTTCAAAGTAGGCAGAGTAGATGATAGAACTGGTTTCCATCTTCCACCTTCCTTATTTTATAGCACATATTTTTTCTACCATACTGTGCTTCCTGGGAAGATAGAGTACTGTATTTGCATATGCCAAAAAAAGACAGGAATGTGTAATGGGGGAGCCATCCCTATAAATAATTGCAATGCTTACTGCTGCATGGCTGTGGTTTTAAAGCTTCTTTATAGCAACTGTGCATCCTGCACTCATTCTTGTTTTTCAAATCCACAGGTGTCTGAAGAATTACCGGTATGTTTGCTACCTCTTTGCTGTGGGCCTAGATGGGCTCTGCTATCTCTGCCTTCCAATGCTTCGAAGTCTCCCCCTCCTGGTGCCTTTCTCTTGTACCTTTGGCTATTTTGATGGAGCCTACGTGACCTTGATCCCAGTAGTGACTGCTGAAATAGTAGGGACCACCTCTTTGTCATCAGCGCTGGGTGTGGTGTACTTCCTTCATGCAGTGCCCTATTTGGTGAGCCCACCCATTGCAGGTAAGTGTTCAGAGATCCCCCAACCACTTTTGTCTTATTGATTGCAAAGAGTGAATCCCTCTTCACAGACATACACGATGAGGATTTTAAGAGAGTTGAGGAAGAATGAAAGAGAACAGGATGCAAGAGCCACCCCAGAACATCATGATCTTACCCACATTCTAGTTTTTTCCAACCATATGGGAACTTTAGCCTTCCTGGAAAGAAAAAAGTCCCAAATTAGCATCTCCGTTCCATTCCACACTAATCATGGGAGCAATGGAATGGAGCAGCTGTTCAGATTTCTAAGTGAGTAGAGCACATTCAGAAGGAAACCTGGTGGGAGGATAGGGTTCCAACAGGGGGCAGTGAGGATGAAATGGGAAAGTGCTGGTGGCATAGTGGGGTGTTTTGAGTGACAGACAAAGAAGCTGCGCTTTATGTCCTTCAGAGACTGTGGACAGTATTAACGTTTTTGTGCATGGGGGTAATGGTAAAAAGGATATGACACTAGGTTCCAAATAATTACTAGGACAAAGAAAATGAACATGAAATATCTTACTAACAATTATTTTCTTTGCAAATTATATTGGTAATCCACTGGGTTAAATGAAAATATATTAAAATCAATTTCTCTATTTGTTTAAAAGAGAGAAAGAAGTAAAGGAGTACCAAGATAACATATTCTGTATCTTCACAGTAGTACTATATATCCATATTTATATGTTGTCATTTTTTATATTTATGGTATCAAAATTCATATTACTTTAAACTAAATAGGGCAAATTGTACCATATATAAATTATATCTCAACAAACATGACTTTAAAAAAGAAATCTAGTTCATGAAGTATTTTAACAGTATTGGGCACATACTAAGTTTTTATAAATACTTATATACTAAATATTTATAACCTGATAAATAATGGCTATTATTATGATTCATTAAAACAACCAGCATCAAGCTGTTTCATAGTGGGGTAGGAAGGAGGAGCATGAGAGGAATAGAGGAATTCCAGATAGGGCAAAGGGGTGGGAGGGGAAGGGAGGGGGCATGGGGTTAGAATTGATGGTGTGAATATACTTTGTATACAACCAGAGGTATGAAAAATTGTGCTCTATATATGTAATATGAATTGTAATACATTCCATTGTCATATATAACAAATCAGAATAAAGAAATAAATTTTTAAAAGGATATTTTAGAAAGATGTGATCTAGCAATTAATCCAGTGATTTAGGACAGAGGCAGTTCAGATTCCATTTTAATAGTTCAGGAATCAATTGATAGAGGCTTAAACTAGGGTTGCTGCAGGAGAAGTGGAAATTAACTCTGGGGACAGGGAGGAGATTTGAAAAAATATAAACTGAATTCAGCATAGGGGGATGAAGGGGAGAGAAGGAAGTGAAAGATGACTTAGAAAATAATGTCGTGATTGAAAGTCAGGGAAATTGGAGACAGTGGCTTTGTCTGAAAAATAACAAATTTAAAGTTGAGATGTATTGAGATATCTGAAATAAATAGGTGAAAATACTCAAAGGAGTTATTCAAATAAAATATGTACTTTAGGGAGTGAAGAGATTTGGATACACAGATTTGGGAGTCATCAAGTAAAGGATCTAGCTGTAAAATGCTAGCCAGGTATAGTGGCGCATGCCTGTAATCCTAGCGGCTCGGGAGACTGAGACAGGAAGATAGCAAATTCAAAGCCAGCCTCAGCAACTTAGTGAGACACTAAGCAACTTAGCAAGATCCTGTCTCAAAATAAAAATTTTTTGAAAAGGGCTGGGGATGTGGCTCAGTGGATAAGCACCTCTAGGTTCAATCCCTGGTACAACAACAATAAAAATCTGTGAAATGCTATAGAAACTGGGAGCATGATCAAACAAATAATTCCACAAACATTTACTGCATGCATTAAACAAGTAATCTAACAAATATTTATTGCTTTTATAACCAGCATGGTGTTTGGCACTGGTGATTCAGTAACAAACAGGTCAGAACCTATTTCTTCTTTCTGGAGCACATGGTGTAGACCAGTGATTCTGGGAATCCTGCATCCAAATTTCCTAATACCTTTGCCAAAATTTGTTGCAGATTAATTTGTTGCAGATTCTTTGAACTTTTCACCTAAGATCTGAATCTTTCGGGGTAAATTCCAAGAATCTGCATTTCCAACCAGCTTTCTTATGATGTTCATGAAAGTAAATGGTCTAGATTATTATCTGTCTAAATTAAAACCAAGAGTGAACAAGATAGGCAAGAGGAAAAGGACCCAAATACTTGCCTAGGAAGAAGGGAGTTTCTTGAGGAAGGCAGGATTTCTGCCATTTGCTGCTATTGTGAATGCACAGTTTAAGGCTATTTCCAAACCCCAGGTGAAAGTTCCTTATCAGTCTAAACTCCACAATATGGGATTCCGAGTTTAGTCTTCATTTTTGGAAACGGCCCTCCACATATTCCCGTGTCCTCTCTCCAAAGCTAATTACAGGGCTTACCAACTTTTAGGAACAATATAATTCTGCTACATATCACAAAACCCAAATGAAATTGGGATTCCTGGACCTTTTTTCCCAATTCTGGCAAATCAGATATTATACACATTAATGGAAGTTAAAGGATTAAGATGTGAGTTCCTGTCATAATAATTTTCTTGTTTATTTATCTTTAAATGAGAACTCTCCACTCAGTCTCTATTTGGTACTTCAGAAATACATGTGTAAATCAGGTGATAACTAAAATGTTTGAGAATAGCTGAATTGTAGAAAACTTTATAGGACATAAAACAATTTCTACAAATACCATTTTTGACTAGTAGATTTAAGATGGGCAAAAGGAGAAAAAAATACTTCTCTGGTAGATTTCTTGGCATGTAAGCCAAATTTGGAGGAATTTAAAAAAAACTTTATGTTAATCACAAAGTAATTATCTACCACAGTTCAATTTTATCACACTTATTCTCTAATCATTTTAGTCCATATTTTGCATATCATACACCTGGTTTTCCTCAAAATTTAAACCAGGATAGATGTTGAGATTAATTTGTTGCAACAAGAGATAAAGGAAGTAAAAACTGTGCTTACAAGTGTACACCTTCAGAAGTATGCTTTTGCAACATCTATGATGGTCTGAAATTCTGATTTTCAAACTGGATGGGATATAATATAATTTTCAAACTGGATCCAAATTAAGATTTGGACATTGCTCCACAGCCTATTATATTATTTAAGATAGTTGTGGGAGCTGGGAATACCACTAACACTTAATGTGATAATATTTTCTTAATCCCCTGAATTATCCCAGCTTCAATAATCTGAATGATGTTGAAAGTCACAGGATACACAATAAAAACTTAAGTTTTTATCTTTTCTACCAGATTTCCTGGGTTTACTAATAACTAATTCTTACTGTGTGATTACTAAGTACACAGCACCATTCCAAATATCTCACTTAATAACGACAATCAATTTGTTTTTAGAAGTTGCCCTAAAAAATAGAATGCATTTCTCAGTTGATGCACAATATTTTTAGGCGGTCTGCTTTTTGTCTCAAAATTGTCATGTTAGCACTAGCGATCTATTGTTATTATCCTTACAGATTATTCGATTTGCGAGTGGGTAAAAGCAGTGATTGAATTTTCAACTTAAGGATGTAATTTTGCTGGTGTCTGTTACAGGATGGCTGGTGGATACAACTGGCAGCTACACTGCAGCGTTCCTTCTCTGTGGATTTTCAATGATCTTTAGTTCTGTGTTGCTTGGCTTTGCTAGACTTGTAAAGAGGATGAAAAGAACCCAGCTGCCATTCCTTGCCAAAGAATCTGATCCCAAGCTGCAGCTTTGGACCAATGGATCAGTGGCTTATTCTGTAGCAAGAGAATTAGATCAGAAAGATGGGGCTTCTGTGGCTACAGCAGCTCCTGGTTACAACCTCACATGACCAATGGCCTTCAGCCTGGGAATCTTTGGGGCTGATGGAAGAAAGGCCACCAGACTGGCATATTTCTGAAGCATTTTATTTTGGCAGAAGTATTGTCTTCTAGGGAAATCATTATTATTGTTTTGTTAACATATTTATAAGGGAAAATAGAAAAAAATAAAGAAAGCTGGACTAGCCTAGAGTTTCTTCATTTGTAATTTGGACTTGTAATACTGCTCTATGGGGAATGGAAGGAGTTGATAGTGTTGGCTGTGATTAAGGGTAGTTCCAAGGCATAGCCAAAGCAAGTGACCTGGCAGCAGCACTGTAATCCCCAACACTCTGCTCCCATCTCCGCCCCCTTCATCCCCCCTCAGAAGGCAAACAGAAACACTGACGCGTGGGATTGCTTACCCTATGCAGTTTGCAGAAGTGTGTGGGGGGGTCATCTTGGGTGTGCTGGCAGAGTGTGAAAATGCCAATCCTTTTTCAAGGTGGAGTTCCTCATTAGGGTTTTAAACAGGGTGGTTAAAGCATACTTGAGATTCTTGCAAAGGTAATGATTAATATAAAAAGAGACCCCCCATACCCCTTTCTTAGTCTTCCAGCTAGCCCTTGCTTCTGCCAATGGGTAGATATCACTTTGAGAATCCATGAAATGCCATGGTTGGAATGGCATCTTAAAGGGTAGCTGGTAAGATCTGTTTGAAATTGCTTGAAATGGAAAGCTCCTTTCCTAAGACTGTCCCAGGCACACACCTCTGTTACTATCACATACTAACTGTAAATTCAGGAGGACCTGTCAAGTTACAAGGGCAGCCTTTCTATCTTTTCTAAAATATTAACTATGCCAAAACTCCCCACTTTTTTTCTTCAGAGTGAGGGGAAAAAAAAAAAAACAACGCTCATTTAAACTGCAGACACATTTCTGCTAGGGACAGAAAAATGTTGGCAGTATTCCAACTGAGCAGGAATTGAATTCTTGAATCAGCAGGTCTCTGGTGAGCATTTTCTTTGCAGATCAGACATTAGATTCATCATTACCCAGAAGAGTACTTGGGGGATTTGAACTGAAAAATATTACCCTAGAGATATTCTGAAGGTGAGATCCTGTGTTCTTGGTGCAACGCCTAGTGCCTTTCATCTCTTTATGGATAATAACTAGAAACCTAACCCACTGGATTATACTAGTTTATTCATCCCCCAGATACCCCACTTTCCTGTGTTTTGGGATCATTTCTGAGTTTTCAGATCCAAGAGGAAGGTTTTGGATACAGAAGAGAAAGGCCAGGTCCCCCAGTTTATCTCTAGCTGTTTGAAATTCAGAGTTGTAATCTCAAGTCCCAAGTCATGTCAGATCTATAAACACAGATGAGTTGTATAATTACAACGGGGGTGGGGGGTGTGAGGTTAATTATTAAAGAATTTAAAATCCAAACTTCAAAAAAATATTTTGACGCCAAAGACCATTTAGCCCACTACCCCTCAAGAGGCCTCTCCAATGACCTGCCAGGGTTACAGGAATTAAAACAAAGAAAGGGGGAAGATTTGAAGTTGGCTGAAGAGTCCTTGCTTGGAACTGGATTATTTCACAAAATTAATTGTTAGTTTATTGCCTGCAGAATGAGATACTGGCTTGATTTAATATTTCATAATTGTTTTCCAAAAAGAAATATGAATGTTGTCTGTTATCTCTTTCCACAGTTTGAGAATTGAGTTTTTGAATCCATGGAATTTGTCATTTGAAAATTTTAAAAATATTTTGAAAAAAATCTGTAAAAAAAAAAATCAAAGTTAAAATGAAGTTATATATGTTTGGAATAGCACTTTACCTTAAATATCATTTCTTAAATCTTTAAGCCAAATATTTTTAAAAATTTAAGTAGCTATAAATACTCATACATATTTTTTCATAGTGATCACAGTAAAGTTTTTGTTTATGTGCTTCTATAATATAATTTCTCTAAAGTATTTATGAAAAATGAGCATAATGAGAGGTTTTAAAGATTTGTATAAAATGATTTGGGATATTGTGACTTTGTACATGCATAAAATTTGCATTTTACTTTCTGTCCTGGAGCAGAATTTTCAGAAAGCCAGTCAGAAAAATGTAGATCCACAATATTGCCATCTGCTCAGAATTTTACTGTTAATGTTCCATATATTTATATGGTTTATTTCAAAACTGAAGAATTCATGGGAATGATGTATTTTATGGGATCAAGAACAAAACTGTAGTAGAATGATTCTACATCTTGAATATTTCTTTATATCATTGTAAATTTTACTTTGGAATTGACTGAGTAGAAAAGCAGAAAAAATTATCTACTTTTATAGTTGTGCTCTACCTTTGGGCCCTTTGTTCAGATTATAATTTCACTAATAAATTAGATATGTATGCTAATATTTTCCTATTTCAAATAAAATGAGTTTATAGTCATATGCTTGGAACAATTTTTTCCTTGGACAAAGGGTTTGGACAGGATGGTGAATGAGTTTCTCTGGTAATGCTAAGATGTAGGTAGGCGATCTATGCTGAGGGCCATTACCAAGTAGGAATGACGCATCGAAATTTCCTTGCCAAGTGTACCCCATGCTGCTTAGAGGACATTCGATGGGACATTGCATGCATGCTTTAATAAGGTGACCTTGCTCAAGGACCAAGGCAGATCCGGGTTTAGAGCTGATCAGGTTTGAGGAAGTAACCGGCTCCTTGAGTTTAAGGCCTTGCCAGTTTAAGATAATGCGTTTTAGGGAAGTTGGAGGTTGAAGATTATTGCTGGGATTAGGGTGTTCCTGCTGCTTGTTCCCGTTGAGTTCTCGTGAGATTAAAATGGGATTTGGAGATAGCCTCGTGAAGTAGGTGAATGGTGCGGGAGACGGCAGAACGCGATTGCCCCTGGACCTGTGTGGAGGTGGTGTGAGAGCTGGAATAAAGAATTGCTGTTTGAATCTACAAAGCTGTGTGGTGGCTCGTGATTCTGGTGCCAAGCATTGACCTTGGCAGATCTACAAAATTCAAACCCTTTATTGAGTACTTCTGCTGTGCTAGCTACTCTACTAGGTGCTTCCTATGCATTGTCTCATTTAATCCCTTCTAACCTATATCATTACAGTTTTGTAGATATGGTAACTGAAGCACCAGATCCCACAGGTTAGCTGCCATTGTGCTCCAGTGCCGGGACCAAGATCCTGTAACATTGGAGTACTGTTCAATGCTGGAACCTTTGGTGCCTGCCTACTCGGATCATCTTTTGTGAGTTCAAGAAGCCATTATGAAGTAGGCTCTCCCTTGGGCAGATAAAAATCCTTTGATTTATGCTTCAACTTTCCAACCAGCACAGAAGGGAAGATTTTAGATTGGAAATTTCCAAGACTTTTCCCAAGAGGTCTCATCAAAGACACTACTTCCAGCTAATTTGCTGGTGACTGACCCAGGCTTTTCTTTGGGAGTTGGGGGATGGAGATATTGGGGAGCATACTTTTTCCCCAAAGTGAGTTCCACCTTCTGAGTGACCTAAGGCATGCCTTCCCAGTCAGCAGTGAGTTCTTTCTGAAGTGCCTGCGCCATTGCCAGTGTCTATTTGGCACTCACCTTCCTGGTCCTGAGAGATCTAATTCTGAAAGTATTTATTGAAATGAAATAGTATGAATTCAGGGTAGACATCAGAGTATCTCTTCTCATGCTTCAAAGTTTGAGTCTTTTTAATTTTTTTAACTCCACCAGAATATATATTTTTATACCTGTTACCAGAGCGCTAAAAGTCCGTCAGTGACAGTAATTGTGATTCTGTCTCATAGTACACAGAAGTATTTGGTGGCAGGATTGGGTATTAAATAATGACAAAAAGAATGACATTTAAAATAGAATACTTCACTAACGAACATTCCAGACATGTACAAAAGTAAAAAAAAAAAAAAAAAAATTAAATGAATTCCATGTGCCCATCCCACAGAAGCTACAATTCCTACAATTCCTCCCCTTCAAAGAAATAAGTTGGAATATATTAACATGTTGGTAGAATATGCCTTCCAGAATAACTGAACTTGCTGCCCAGAATAATGGAACTTGGCAAGAACAACTTTTCATACCAGCAGAGGGCATGGGTGGTTGGTATACTGTCACCTATTAATGGGCTCCATTGCTCACAAAGCAGACTGGGAACCCTTTTTTGCTATGGACTTGGAATCTGAATTGAGGGTTAAAACTTCCTCCACTAGTCTATATCCCTCTTGCAGGCTTATATACCTGAGGCCTAGGATGACAATAAGGAGAAAGTGCACTCGAGGTCATTATTTCTCTCATTGTTCTTAATTGATTAAGAGTCTAGGATCTCTTTGAGGGGTCTGGGACCTAAGACTGGCCTAAAATCAAAGAAAATTAATCTATTTTCAAGGTTTTGACACTAAAAAGAATTAATGTGGCATTTTATAATGCAGTCCTTTTAAAGCTTTCCCCTAAAAGTGTTACTTTTGTGATGGCAAGTATGGTCTTCTCACACCAAAGGATCTAATGATGGAAGAGGTAGAGCTCATGATCCTAGGAAGAAGACTTATTCTCATTCCAGGAGAGTTTGTTTTTGCAACTGGGTCAGAGCAGGGTCTAAGTGTGTGTCTTCGGAAGAATCTGGAAATGAGGGGATGGGATATGGGGAAGCCTCTTTGTTCCAGCAGACACCAGAGATCTCTGTGTCTCTAAATGTGTCGATTCCTGCTCACACGGAGATGGGAAAAAAATCAGATACCTAACTTTAGTATCTAAAGTTCAAATAGGGACCAAGTGAGGTGATGCACGCCTGTAGTCCCAGCAGTTTGGGAGACAGAGGCAGGAGGATCAAAAGTTCAAGGCCAGACTCAGCAAATTAGCAAGCCCCTAAGCAACTTTGTGAGACCGTAAAAACTAAAAAAGGCCAGGATGTGGCTCTGGGTTCAATTCCTGGTACCTAAATAAACAAAACTGCAAAATAAAGTTCAAACAGGAGAGGGGAAAGCCTTTTTCAAAATCACAGTATTTGTAGGTTTGATAATGTAAGGGGGGTCCGGCGGATCACTGGAGGGAGAGACCACACAAGAGACTTACTCCATGCAATTGGCAAAAGGGGATTTATTGGGGATCCATTCCAGCGGGCTGGGGCTCCGTGCTCACTCAAGAAGGGAGAGCAGCCCAGAGCCCAGAGCAAAGGTCAAGCAGAGCTTAAAGTACTCTTTTGGGGGATGGAGGGCGGTGGGCTTTGCATACATTAGAACAAATCATCATGAGGCGCGGGGAAATTGAACAACAACTCTGAGATGTGATTGGCAAATTCATTGGCGGGCAGATCTACAAAACGGGGGGTTGGTCATTCCTAAGCAGGGTACACATTCAAACTGATTGGTTCGGGCCCTGTGACAAACTGCACAGGGCCCTAGGCTAAATGGCCAGTAGGGTGTTGTCTTAACTATCTCAGGAATCTGGGTGTAACAGAGGAACTCAATAATACCTAATCTTTTACATTTTAATTCAAGCCTTCCAGCTTAGAAACTTTACCCTTTCAATATGACCATTCAATACCCACACTGGAATATGACTGTGTTAGTCAGCTTTTTGTCGCTGTGACAAAAATACCTAGAAGAACAACTTAGAGAAGGAAAAGCTAATTTGGGCTCACAGTTTCAGAGGTGCAGTTCATAGTCAGCTGACTCTGTGACCTGAGGTGAGGCAGAACATCATGGAGGGAAGCTGCTCAGCTCATGGCAGCTGGGGAAAAGAGAGCGACAGTGAGGAGCCAAGGACAAGATATGAATCCCAAGGGCACACCTCCAGTGACCTGCTGCCTCCAGTCATGCCCCACCTGCCTACAATTACCATCCTTTAATCTATGTGTTATGGTTTAGATATGAGGTTTCTCCCAAGAGCTCATGTGTGAGACAATGCAGGATCTTCAAAGGGGAAATAAGGGGAAGTGATTCGATTATGAGAGTGACATCTAAGCAGTGGTTCAATCCATTTATGGATTAACTGGGATATAATTGTCAGCAGGTAGGATGTGACTGAAGGAAGTAGGTCATTGAGGGTGTGACTTTGGGGTTTATATTTTGTCCATGGCAAGTAAAGCCCTCTCTCTGCTTCCTGGCTGCCATGTCCTGAACTGCTTTCCTCTGTCATACCCTTTTGCCTTGATGCTCTGCCTCATATTGGGCCCACAGCTATGGAGTTGACCAACCATGGTCTGAATCTCTGAAACAATGAGCCAAAACCATGTTTCCTCCTCTACATTGTTCTTGTCAGGTCTTGTTCATAGTGATGCAGAGTTGATTAAAACACCATTCAAATTATTAATCCACCAAATGGATTAACATGTCAGTTACCTTACAGCTCTCATAATCTAATCATTTCACCTCTGAATATTCCTGCATAACCTAACACATGCGATTTTAGGGGAGACCTTATATCCAAACCAAAACAATTATTTACAAAGTAGCATGGAGTGTGCATCCCCTGTTGGGCTACATCCCCGACCTCTCTGCATACTTCAGCACTCAGGCTACCAGTTCCTCTAATTTCCAAGCTCTGTCTGGGGGCATTTTGTATGTTGATCCCTATGTATACTCACTATTTTTTTTTTCTTGCAGTACTGGTGGCTGGACCCAGAGGTGCTCTACCACTGAGCTCTATCTCCAGCCTCTTTTATTTTGAGACAGGATCTCTAAGTTGCTACAGTTGGCCTAGAACTTCCAATCCTCGTTGTCTCAGCCTCCCAAGTCACTGGAATTATAAGCATGTGCTGCCTGGTCCAGCTCACTTCTTATCTTTTGAGCCAGAGCTTCAAAGCCACTTCTCTGGAGAATCATTACTCACTGCCCATATCTATTACATATCCTCCACCTGCATTATTTTTTCTCATGTTCTTCAAAGAACATGTTATGCATAAGTATATATTTGTGTTTTTATTCTAATATTCTATCCTCCACTCTTTCTAGAGAAACCCCACAAGCTGAGAATGGAAAGCATATTGACTTATTCACCATTAAGTCCTGTGTCTGACACATAGTAGGCACTCAATAAATGCTTAGTGAATGAATAAATAAATGAAAAGAATACATGAACAAAGGAAAAGAAGAATGAATGAAAAACATGCTGTAGAAAATGTGACACAAACAAGGGTAGGGCTGAGCAAAAGTCTGGGGTGCATTTGTTTGAAGTTGTTCTTTTTTAAAATATTTTTTTTAGTTGTAGTTGGATACAGTACCTTTTTATTTTATTTTATTTATTTTTATGTGATGCTGAGGATCGAACCTAGCATCTCACACATGCTAGGTGAGCACTCTAGTGCTGAGCCACAACCTCAGCCCTGAATTTGCTCTTGAACCTGGAATAGAAACAATATAGTAGATGTTCCTAATTCAATGGTAAAGAGAACACCTTGTGAGAGGTGTCACATAAACAGCAGGAGGTCCAGA